CCCCAAAACCCCAAAACCCCAAAACCCCAAAACCCCAAAACCCCAAAACCCCAATCATCTCGATAAAAGTTGATCTATAATAATTACGTAAAATCAAATATGAACGAAGTTGACGAAGATGCTATTTTCCAGGAGCTTCTCCTGATAGACTCCAATAAACGCTGCTTTGACTGTGGCCAGATCTCTCCACAGTGGGCATCGGTCAATAATGGGATTTTTATATGCCTAAATTGCAGTGGTATTCATAGATCCTACGGTGTCGATATAAGCTTCGTTAGAAGCGTGACTATGGATTCTTGGAGTCCAAAGCAACTCAAATGCATGCAACTCGGAGGAAATCACAGCCTCAGTGAGTTCCTCTCCAGCTATGACCTCATGAGCGAGCCCATGGATGTGAGATATCAGACAAAAGCTGCAGAGTACTACCGTAAAAAGCTACGGGCTTTTTGAAATGAGGTGGAGTTTCACGAAGAAAAACCTGACTATGAAGAAGGTAGACTTCCCATCGAGTATAAGGTCAAGTCTCAGGAAGAGCTTAAGAATTCTATCGGAGGTGGCCACGGCCCGGATGGCGAACACCAGCCTAAAGACTTTATCAACGAGTTTTGGAGCGAAACCAAGAAAGTTGCAAAATCAGGCTATGATTACACCAGCACTGGAGTGAAGAAGATAGGAACAAAAATGGAAGAAAGTGGAGTTACTGACAAGGTAAAAAGCGGGGCTAAGACCGTTGGCACCAAGACTGTAGAATATGGAGGGATAGCTTACTCCAAAACCAAAGAAGGTATCAATAAGATAGCAACTAATGAAAAGGTAAAAGAGTATAGCTCTAAAGCATACCAAGGTGCCAAGGATGTGAGCACTTCAGTTTGGGGATTTTTCTCGAAAGCAGTCGACCAAATTAAAAATTCCAATGGAAATGCTGGTGAAGCTAATGGAGCAGGTGATGGAAACTTAGGTGGTGATGCGAATGTTATGGATCAACCAGATTTAGCTCCCCCTCCTCCTCCACAACCTCCTATGGATTCTGTTCCAACATCTGCTCCTTCTGCTGACTCATAAATAATCGGTTCAATCTAATTTTTTTGGAAAGGGGTTTTGGGGTTTTGGGGTTTTGGGGTTTTGGGGTTTTGGGG